GAAAGGAAAAAAAAAAAAAAAAAGAAATAAAGGAAGAAAGCAAAGCCTGGAATCTTCCTGACTGATGAAAGGCTGTGTTCACCAAGCATGGCTGGCTCATCTCAGCGGCTGGCAGGTGGAACCAACATGCACGGAACAGCCCTCAGCCAGGCCGAATCCTGCTTCCTGACCTGGTCCCTCAGGAGCTGAGAGGGAGCCCAGCGGCTGGGTAGGAAAGGAGCCAGAGAAGCTAGAGGCTGTCCCTGCGCCGCTCCGAATCCGAGTCCCTGAGGCCAAGCGTCCTCTACCTGGCAGGGCCTGAGGCCTGGACTTGCTCATCAGACGCTACCCTTTGGGTGTGTGGGGCTGCACTGAGCATTGTCACAGGGGCACAGAAGAGGACCTGAGGGCACAGGACAAGGGAACCAAGCTCAGCAACAGGGCTCCCCTCAACAGCGATAATGCCACTGCTACGCACAACACGCACGCAGGTGTGAAAGTCTCCTGTGCCTTAAAAAATATTTTTTCTTTAAAACGTGCAGTGTTCTCATTTATCAATGAAGAGAGCAAGGCCTGCCATGGTCAAGTGGCTCAGCCAAAATCCCAGTGGCTTTAAGGCAGAACAGGGCCCTAGGAATGGCGCAGACACTCCCAGGAGCAGGAAGCTGCACTTCTAAGGCTCCCCAGGGCCGTGAGGGCGGAGCACCCCACAGCCCTCTGGGGCTTGCGTGGGTGAGGGGAGGGCATGGAAAGCCCATGGGACGGTGGCCCAGCCACGCACTTAGAAGACAGCACACACGAGTGCAGATATCTCAGCAACTGGTTCATTCAGTTACAATAACAGCAACTGGGTCCATTCTGGGATTTCTAGTTCCTTGGGAATTTTTATTTTATTTATTTATTTTTTAAAAGACAAAAAGGACATCAGCCAGTCACTGGAGGCAGGACCACCTCCAGGATATCGCCAAGTTCTAAGAGGAATTTCACCAAGGAGACGTCCAGGGCCAGGCCCTGGAGCTGCCAGGCGCTCAGTGGACGCGCAGGCAGAGGGCCAGTGAGCTGCGTCCTGACCTCACCTCCATCACACAAGAGGAAGTGAGCAACAATGCTCAGCTCCACACAGGCCA